AGCAAAAAACGTTGAGCCAAAAACGACCGATTTTCGCCCAATTTTCTATGAACCTTTCATAATTCAGCTAATTCAGTCCAGCGGTTAGATAGAGTATTTATTAGAGACGCCCAGAGAACCAACATTTGGGACGTGAATCGTTCTGGCGACGAAAAATCTGCGAAAATAGCCAAGGGGGTGAGGGACTGCATATCAAAAACATGTATAGGGTATACAATAATCAAAACTTGCAGCAATTTGGGAAAATAAGTTGATTTAAAATTTGTAGAAAATTACAAAAAAAACTTGAAACATGTTACATCAAAAGTTGGGAGGAAAATATGAAGTGATTTTAAAAATCACTGATTCCATAGACAAAGTTGGGGAAACCGCAATTTTTATTTGCTCTTTGATCAGTTATCTAAAGGAATCATTTATTCAGCACAATGTGTAATTTTTTCAATTTGTCACAAGTTTTAGCCAGATCTATCATTAAAAAACAACATTATTTTGCAATTAACTTGAATTATTCAGACTATTTTCTCTTAGCTAGGTTTTACTATTGTTGAACTAATGCTGCCAAAATTCATACAATATACCAATAGTTGCTTTCAATTTCATGTTTTTGAATTCATAGCTTGTAATTTTAATCATAAAGACAAATAAGATATCATTCAATGTTATGACAACCGTATTTCATCCATTGATGTAAGGTTCCCTGGTGACTGCGGTGTCTGAAAATCGACGGATGAGTCTTCTCATAATACTGGACAGGGTGGTGCACATCCTATGATGTAACCAATGTGCAAAGCATATAAATGCCGCGGAAACTCATCAAGTTTGTTGAATAACGATTACCGAGTTACGTCACTAATCTCATCATCAGCACGTTGCCATAACAATTGGACAATCGCGATTAGCTAAAGACTGGCACAAGATGGTTCGAACAAAAATTATTAATCTCTTGATAATAGGAATATGTTTGTCGCGTAACAATAAAAAAACGTACGAAATAATATTATCATATTTCTATTGCAATTTTTGAATAACAGGGTATCATAAACTTACCAGGGATTTATCGTGGCTATGCTGCACTGCACTACACTACACTGCTTGGCGGCGACTCGGTGTGTCGTCCCAAATCCTAGTAGTATCCTTCTAGTACTAGTAGTATATTTGCTGAGTCGTAGCCGACTGGGCTTGTCGAGACGACCTTAATAC